ATTGAATTTGCCACAGGTGGACTCCAATCAAAGTGTGGAAACATCTCAAAGATGATCCAGAGAAATGAGCTGCACCTGAGCTAAATGTCAAGTGTCATAGCAAAGGGTCTGAATACATATGTCAATGTGATATTTCATTTTTTTCTTTCTAATGAATTTGCAAAGTTATCACAAATCTGTTACTACACATTTCTGAATAGTATGGTTCATGATGAATAACAAGAAAATAGTAGTTTATAACAGACCAAGCATGTGGGAATTGCATCTGTAAGTGCACCAGCTAATAAGGCTAATTATCCGAGACATGGTCACAATCTTATTGCGGCTACTTTTTAAGAAGAATTTGCCTCTTTCTTCTCCAAAAATATATTGCCTTATTGCTTGCTATGACGTTAGACGTGACTTGCTGTGCCTGGTTACATAAAACACTTTAAGTATTTCTCTTAAATTATATCTTAGGTTTCATACTTGTCTTTAACCATAGGAGTAACTTAGGTTGCTTCATTAAACCCTTCTCCTAGTTAATGGAAAACAGTGAAGGAATTACTACAGCGACTTTTGTAAATTGCACTGTCAGCTTATTAAAACAAGCTATCTTTATTCCCACAAGATTAACCCCATAACCTTTTATCAGATTCAGAATTGAATTATAGAATAATTTGCTTTAAGAAAAAAATAATTGGATAATAACATGGAAGTTTAAGGAATTAATTATCCATACTATGAATGGATAAAAATGGAAAAAAAGAAAAACAAATAAAGAGAAGAAGAATTCCTGACAGCTAAGGGCTTAATAGCTTTTAAAAACATTAATTTACCACTTTAGGTTTTCTTGTGGAAAAACACTTAAATTATAAATACTTGTTTTACTCATCATAACTAATCTTACTAGAAAATTCAACTGAATCTGTTTTACACAACCGGGCACAGACTGTAGGATTGATCAATAAAACTGGATCTGACTTGGATTTCTGGGGAAGAGCCAAACTGGCCAAATTGGTTTGATCCTGTGGTAATACGTATGGATTAAATTCACTCAATCTGTTTATCTGCTTATGTCTGTCTTTCACGCTATGTCTCTCCCTTCAAATTCAATATACTCTATATTCTCCCCTAAATATTCTCTAATAACATTTGAAGAATAGGAGCTTCTTTTGTATGTTGAGCACTTTTATTTGCTAAGTTTCTGTGGACATACTTCTTTTTTATACACATTCCAGGAAGTCTCTGCTCCTCTTCTCAGGCCTTGTGGCCTAAATGTTGGTTTATTCAGCATGCATGATTACCTGATTACTTGTTGCGTATACGAGCAGCCTATAGGCTGTGTGGGCCTCATGCAGGTGGTGTGATAGAAATGTGCTTAGTCATGAGATAATTCTCTGCCTTCTCTGTTTTCCCATTAAAGTTTTCTTCTCCTACTGAAGTCACTTTGCTCTTTTTACCTTTCTTCCATTTTGCCATTCAGCTCCGGTTCTGCTATTTTCTCTCCATTATCTGCACCACCTTCGTTCTTTATTCTCTTTCTTTTTGTTTTTTGTTTTTGGAAGCTGTGTCCTCTTCTCCATCATTTCTTTTGTCTCATTTTCCACTTTACCTCCTTTTGTGGCATATCTTAGTCCCCCATTTTTACAGCCTTTATGCTGTCTGTCTCCATGACTTTCATTTCCTTCATTTTTTTTTCCGGTCTGTAGAAGTGCTTCTTCTTGGGTTACTCATAGGGTGCAGATGTATAGCGCTGTCTGGTTGGGCTCCCTGTCTGGAGGTTTCTTCAACCAGGCTCAGTGATTGTATCATCTTTGCTCCAGTTCAGTTTTCCTATCTAAGATTGAGGTTGGGTGTCTGGAGGTCCAGGGTTCTTTTTTTGCCCATATGTGGCTTCCTCCATCATATCCAGCTTCCACTGACTTTAAATTTGCATTGTATCCTGTCAGAAGGTTCTCCACCATGATGTGTAGCTGGGGCAGTAAAATATAGGTACTGGAATTATCTCAGGCATTACTTACCCAGGTGGTCTTTTCTTGCAAAACCCTTTGTCCACCAGCTCCTGTGATTGGTAGTACTCACCCTCTTACCCCCCACTTCCTCTCTCTCTCTCTCTCTCTCTCTCTCTCTCTTAATGTAGTAGCTCATATTGTGAGTGATCCTGAGTGAGATAATAAGGTAGGACTGATGAGCATCCATCACACACTGCAGTCTCATAATTTCCATCTCATCTCTATCTGTGGCATATGTGTACAGAACAGCGCAATAAATAGCAATGGATGTGCCTCTAAATCTGATCAATAGCACACATAAACTGACTAAACAACAAAGAAAAGCATCAAATCACTTCAACACTTGTCACTACAATTAGTTTCATTTATTGAAATGGAATTTCCTTGGATTGTTTGTCCATTATACATACTGTATACCCAAGTGTATAGTATGATGCTAAGCTTTCCTACTTTTAAAGAACGATGTAATTTAAATAAATAAAATTAAAGAGAGAGATGAGGAGGGTGTAAGAGTTACCAGGTTTGTAGAATCCTTTGGGAATTATGACAGTGGAGAGCCAGATCACATGGAGAGCCATATCACCAGAAGTGTTTTGGTTTCAAATCCCAGAGGATGCCACTATAGCTAATGACAAGTCGCTGATATCTCTTCCAGTTTGTCTCTAGTGCTGTGTACAAAATCCAGTACAAAAAACAAAAACAAACAAAAGAAACAGATGAGACAGCAATTATACATTTCTCTTCCATCTTGGGAACCTAATTCGGAAATGAAGCCTTGAGAGAAGGGAACATCAGACATCCCACATGATTGGATTGCTGGATTGCCGTGTGTAGTTTACTGGAGCCAATTGTTTTGATTTGTCTGTTTAATTCATCATAGCTATTTTCATACAATTAAAAAAAATGTCACTTCTTGATCGGTTGACATTGCTGTACAGAAATCCTTATTTATGTTTGCATTATTCTGTGTCCACAATTTATAGCCCAAATTTGCATCTGGGTTAGCAATGTAGAAATGCTATCTTGTGCTTAAATCATTCAGGCCTTCAGTCTACTGTATGTAAGGTATGTTGTCACATTATGTTTAAAGTGTTAGTCAGAGGTGGCTAAATACAACTGTCTTTAAAGTTTTGCTAGTTCCTTGGAATTGAATTTGCTGTATATTGTCTAGTCTTTGTAGCAAGTGTTTGTGGTTTGTTATGTTCTGCTTGAATATGGTTCTTGAATATAGATCGGCATTACGCTGTGTGCTTGATGTTTTAAAATTTTAATGTATGTGCCCTTTCTCAAATTTGAGCAATCTCTGCATAGCTCATTGTGTTTTAAAAATGTAATATGGGACCGGTTCAAGATGAATCATGCAAACATTTCACTTTTCATGTAAGTCTTTACCATATACAGTATAGTAAGAAACTGAAATACTTCCTGTCAACAGTTTATTAGGAACATGCTTTAAATTAAATCCCCATGGAAACACAAGTTATCAAAGCTCTTAGGGGACAGAGTACTTGAGCTCACAGTTGATGTCTGTTGCTTTGTCATATGCCTGTGTGAACTCAGGGTCAGTCGAAGTTTGCTTTTCACAGAGACACAGCATAGCCAATTGGGGCAGGAGGTCAGTGGTGATCTCCAGGAATAACCACTAAGCCAATAGCACCACAACCTCTGGTCTCTAAAACATTAGAACTATTAAACAAGGCCTTCCATTACACAGAAGACATGAATGACCATCATCTCCAAGAGAGTAAAACCAAGAACAAATGATTCAAAGAGGAGACAGAAAAAGCGAGAGGAACACAGGAAAGAAAGGGACAGGTGGTGGCTGCAAATCAGGCCAGTTCATGTAAGGCGACATAGAGCACATATTTCTCTGGAAGCCGATGAGAGGGATCAGTCAGCCAGCACTGAGTGTGCCATCCATCTCCAGCCTAATCCTCAGCGTTATTGGATTTTACCAGGGGAAGAGGAACATGGGCTTCAGAGCTAGTGAACATAATTCAGCCACCATGCTGCATGCCCACACACTCCCTGCACACAACAATCAACACCCCTAGTTCCGATCGGCCTGCTGGGAATTCAGTCAACTATTTCTTATAAAGGGTTGTTGCCAGTGGAATGAGGATGCCATATACCCTGAGATGTCAGTTTACTCTTACTCTTGGGGTGATTTGGATGTTTTATGGGCTCTCTTTTTTTTCATAAATAACTGCTACTTGGAATCTCTTGTGAAAGGGAATACTCCTGTAAGGGATTCCTCATAGGAACAAGCAAAAACTGTTCTAGATTTATTCAAAGAGTGTAGTTACTAGAACAGTATATGTAATGCATTGGCGACTCTGGCAGCTCTGTTTATTTGTATCAGATGCTCACTCTTATTATCTTCCAACTAAAACGACATTTGAACCATGCTTATTGTATTCATTCTCTGCAGATATTATAGTATAAGCATTGCTAGATTTTGGATGGAAACGTAAGAGTTACAGGCATGAAAGTATAAATGGATATCGAATCTTCCATGATGTCTAGGTACAAGTTTCTACCTGGCATCCTAAAACATTCTTCAGGTTTTCCTACTAAGGGAAGAAGACCCTTGTCACTTGTCCTCTTAGAGAGATGCATCACTGCAAATCAGTACAAAGTTCTTCTGACTGATCATCTTTATCCTATGATGATTTCCTTTCTTATTGGAGTGGTCTCTTCCAGGATGACTCCACCCCCATCTTGGCATAAGGGCCCTGATTTACAGTAAATGATGTAAATCATGGCCTTCACACTCACCAGCTCTCAACCCAATTGACCACCTAAGTTAGATTTTGGACTGTCGTGTTAGAAAGTACTCCCCACCACTATCATAAAAAAAAACCCTTGTAGAACCAGTGCAAAGGTGTATTGTGGTTTACAGCATTTAGCAGACACCCTTATCCAGAGCAACGTACAGTTATCTCATTTATACAACTGAGCAGTTGAAGGTTAAGGGCTTTGCTCCAGGGCCTAACAGTGGTAGCTTAGCAGTGCTGGGATTTGAACTCATATCCTTCTGAGCAGTAGTCCACCATCTTAACCACTGAACTACCACTGCCCTGTAATGGTATTGAGGTGGTTCTGGTGACTCATTTTGTGGTCCGACACCTTACTAAGACACTTTATGTTGTGTTTTTCTTTGTCTGTATATCCTGTATGTATATTCTGAGTTGCTAGACTTATAAGTTTACCAAAGCTAGTAACTAATACACAATCAACCCAATATATAAGAAATAGTAGCGGGAAAAAAAGGCATTTCGGGTTTTTATACATATAATGAGTGGTGAAAGGTTTCCTGACAAATCATATTAACTTCAATAGGTTTATAAATAGCACATGTGATTCTCAATCTTTTTTTCCTTCCTTTTCTTTATTTGCCATTTGATCCTCTTTTGGTCTACCCATCTGTCTATCTTACTTGTGTCTTATTTATTTATATATTTATCCATTTATTCATTTATTTGGCAAGAAGTCCAGATCGATTCAGCGGCGGTCCTCTCCTGTGTGTCAGAGCGGAAGCAATCATTATCCATTCAGTTCATCACTGCAACAAAAGACCAGTAAGATCTATCATCCTCTGATATTCTGAGATAGACAGGAAAAAGATAGACACAGAGAAAGGAACTAGAGAGTTTGTGTGTGTGTGTGTGTGTGTGTGTGAGAGAGAAAGAGTGAGAGAGAGAGTGCATTGAGATGGAGGAATTGTGAGTTGTGAATCCTTAGCTCTAAGTGCCAATAAGAGTAAGTACATGGCTTCTTTCAGAGTCTTAGTGTTAGCATGTTTTCCACCAACAGCATCTCACTCACCACAGCAGAAACCATAGAAAAACAGACCCTCCACATGACACCTATTTCATGCCTTGAATAGCTTTTTCAAGCCAATGCAATAATTCCCTCATAACTGAATGAATCATATTTGCTGTATCATGCAACAAGTACTAACTCACTCCATTACAGTGAAACTCACCAGAGCTCTGGCCAATTAAGACAGAAATACTGCTGCTGACTGCAGGACGGCTTCGGTCCAGCAACACCGACAAATAAAACAGCTTAATAAAATGTGCCCAATGAAATTTTGTAGTGAGCAAATGGAGCTCGGTGCCAATAACTCTCATGAATTTTTCAAAAGCTGTGCTGACAATGAGCCAAGGGGCCTTTTAATGACTAGTGAGAGTCTAGTCCTTATTAGGGATAACCTATTATGGACAACTGCACTATTTTCAGGGACTATTCTTGCGTATTCTCCAATGCACCATGCTTTGTGGCAGCTTTAAGCCAACAGTCATTCATTCTTAAAATAATTAATTAAAGTACACCACTGATGCTATCAAACCAGCAGTCCCGCTGGCACTATGTGAAGAAATTGAGTGTTGCAGATTCTCAGTTCTTTGTATTAGTGAGATGCAGTTTTCCCAGTGAAACAAGAGACATTGGTCTAACTAGAGAGCCCCAGCTTTGACATGTGGTCCACCTCTTTCCAAATGGCAATCTGCACACACTTGTAGCAAAAAAAAAAAAAAAGGCTGTTGACCAAAAATCCTGTTGCCTGGTGGCCTGCAGTTTTCCTCTATATTTGGAGATTAGGTTGATTGTATAGGAAATTAATAGACTATAATGAATAAATTACTATAATGCCTAAGGCTACATTCATACTAGCTAGCAGCAAATCACTTGGTCGCTTGCATTTTGTCTCTTGTGGGGTGTGGGCATGCAGAGTGGTGATGGGGGAACTGAAGAAACATCGGATCATAGAATTGGCCAATCGTTTGGATTTGTCAGTTTACAGCATCATACCTAATTTGCATGGGACTGAGGAAATCTTATTTCAGATGTTACTTTGTCACTTTGTTCACCTATCGGTGAAATCACAGCTCCTTTGTTGCACACGTACATAGAATCTTTATGGTCGTCTTTTGCTTTTTTCCCTTACTGGAGTGAAAGTAGGATAATGATGTAATTAGTAGTCTTTTAGACAACACAATAAATGCTAATAATCTAATATTTAAGAATGCTTTTGAAGTTTGATTGTTTCCTTGAATGCTCAAATGAATGTTTCCTTGAATGCTTAAACCAAAATAAAGCCAAACAGAAATGTATGTCTTTAAATAAATTAATGGAACACTAATAATTAGCATGCACGTATCTCCCTTCACAATGGGTAGCATTGCCGAGCCACAGTTCGAGACCTGGTTTGATCCTGAGCTCTAGTTCTTGTCCTGGTTACCATGTACGTCTAGGTTTCCTCTGGGTTCTATGGTTTCCTCCCAAAAACATACTGGTAGGTAGTTTGGGTGCTCTAAAGGTGTCACTGTGGGTGTTCCAGGGATAGACTCCAGATCCACTACGACCATGAACAGGATAAAGCGGAAGATGAGTGAATAAAGGAATGAATTAAAATCTGCCTTTTAGAGCACAGTATATTTAGCTTTCAGTCCCTGATCTAGTTAACACTTTGCTAGATCCATTGAAAGATAACACTTCCTGAAGGCATCTTAAGGCAAATCTAGCAAACAATTATTCCAGTAACAGCTATTTTCTACTGAAAATGACCTAAAAAATCATGCAATCCATAATATGTAGGTGTAATAGGATTGCAGATATTATCTAATGTATCCTTTGCTAAGTACTTGGATTTTTTTTCTTGTAATAAGATATGAATTAGTGCACATTTCCGTCCATCATATTATCAGTTTTTTCATATAATGCAATCACTTTCTTGAATTGTGAAATCCATTTTGGCTAAAGAGAGAGACAGAGTCTGTAAGCCTTCCTGACAGCTTGTTAGCTGCTTTAGCATCATATCTGTAAAGAGAGCTTCCAACATCAAATATGTCTTGGCTGATTGACCACATTTCAGATAAAGAGGAAATGTGTAAATGTCCTTTTCTGAGTGAAGTATTCCTTTAGTTTCCTGTCATTCTGCTTCACCCTGGATACGACGAAGTGAGTTAGAGCCAGGGTTCAATTTACAGTTTTAATGTATGCTATAGCTCGAGTAGTCCCTTCCTTCTTTCCTTTACATTTAGCTGAACAGATTGAGGTGACACTTTCTATTTTCTCACTTCCTAAAAGATTCCAAGGTTTCCGCTCCTGCCTTTTGGTCTGGTTCGAATTAAGCCAGAATGGATGCAATAATAGCCTGTTCAGTGGTGGGAATAGAATAAGGCCTTGAATGTGAATAATTGAGGGTCTGAATTAACAATAACAGACACAATAATAATAGCATGTGGAGTGTTTCGAGTACAGAAAGGATTAGATATGATTCTGGATACTAAAACAGGAGTATGGTAGGAAAAAGGTAGCCATGTGACATTTTCCAGCCATGTGAGGACTAAATGGGGCATGTCCATGTGTTGCAAGTGCATAGAGTTGACAGTTAATAATATAGGAAAAAAATGGATTCAATTCTAGATACCGAAACAGTAGTATGGTAGAAAAGAGGTAGCCATGCGATATTTTACAGGTGTGTGAGGACCAAATTTGGGCGTCCTTGTCTTCCGAGTGTATAGAGTTAACAACTAAGCATATAGCAAAGAACTGGATTGGATTCTGGATACTAAAACCAGAGTAGGACAGGAAAGAGGTGGCGAGATGATGTTTTAAGTCGTGTGAGGACCAAATGAGGGGCATTCATGTGTTACAAGTGCACAGAGTTAATAGCTAATAATTTAGGAAAGAACTGAATTTGATTCTTGACATGAAAACAGGAGTAGTGTAGGAAAGAGGAAGCCATGTGATATTTTACAGTCATATGAGGACCAAAGCGGGGAGCAACTATGTGTTACAAATGTGGAGAATGAACAGCAAACAAACAACAAAAAACAAAAATTGATGGAACCATATCTGTGTCTGATGGCACCTCCTGTGGCTCTCTGTGTGTAGTGCGATCTCTCGGCACACCTGCCAGTAATATTCATCAGATCAGTGTTGAGAGGAGCTGATTGCAGAGATGCTCAATGAGTAAAAACGGTAAAGATGAGTCTAATTTGTGCAATGGGACACTCCAAGCTGTAGCCTTCTAGGAAATTACTCCATCTCTACAATACTAGATCATTTTTGTTGTTGATTTGTTGATTTTCTACTTTGTTTTACTTTCCTTTGTCAATCTTTCGAGTATCATCATCCAATTTGCCACGATCTTCTGGAGTGACATCCACACTTTTTAAATTAGCAGAATGTCTTGCTGAGTCTCCCTGAACTCCAATCTCACGTAATTTGCACAGTCAGTCAGCTCAGCTTTGCACAATTATGCCGCCGACTTCATTCTAATGATGCTCCCACTGCTCGGGATAGTTAGCCTGAATTGCGTAGTTACCTGCAGCGTCATTTGCGTTTGTTGTATTGCGCTTCACATGTCATTTTAATCGAAGTGTAGTTTTCCACTTTGCAGTCTAGCACATTTATATTACTTTTGCATTTATTGATTTGTCCAGCACTTGTGATTTACAAGTGCCTGAGTGCCTGAGGGGTATCTGGCAGTCTTGTGTGGAAAAAAAAATTGGGGAAATAATATTTTTCCCTCATGCCATTGAAACTAGAGTAGTTAGAAATATAAATATCATTACAGCAAACAGTTGACAGTGTGAAAACTTGCATTAAGATGTAATAAGTTTAACTCTCGCATAAATCTCCGTAAAAAGATGACCCTTTCTCAGTGTCCTCTGTTAAATTTGGCTGAAGCATAGACTAGAATGCAGTCTATGGACTGGAAAAGCTATTCTATGAAAAGAGTTTAGCTAACCCTGGCTACTCCAGGGTGCATCGTCTCAAAACACAGAAGTACTGAAAAACTGGAAACAAATTGTGCCAGCGAACTGACTGCCCCTGAACAAAAACCTCTACACGCTCCTTGTGCGACTGCTGCCTGGGTGCTGAAGGGAGCACATGGCCACAGGGTGGGTTGCTACAACCACACACGGCTGGCCACCAATGATAGTGGTGGCAGCTCCTCACCATCCACGAGAAGCCAGGGGAGTATAAAAGGGCGCCATGGACACAGCAAAGTGAGTCAGTTTGGTCTGAATATGCCTGTTGATCTGTTTCTCTCCCTTGCATGTAGAGACTGCTGACAGTGGCAAAGACCACGCTCCTCACCAGTGTCCCACCGAAAGTCTGCACCCTGACGGCTGAAGGAACCCACAGGGTCTTGCCTCAACAGCACTCATTGCTGCTCGCCATGCCCCATGCCGAGACGACTGTGATGCCTCTGCATCACACTGCTACCCCCATCCAGCAATTCTCACACCTCCACTCCACTAAACTAAATAAAAGAGCACTTCCTTTTTGCACTACTCCTGCCTACTCTGTGTCTTTGTTCAGCCTGCTGCAGCCTCGAGTTGCTACATTGGTGGAGTATGCGGGCAGTGAACATGGACCCAACCTCCATCCATCCCATGGAGCAGATGATAAAGCACCTGCTGGAGACTAGCATCCAGCAGCAAGCTGTGACCCAGGAGCTGGCACTAGGCTCTGCACCATCACCGAGGAGTTGCTGGTTCTCCTCAACTGCAATACCGTTTCTGCCACCCACCCTCCAGTCCCAGGCCAAGATACCCAGTGCCTACTTACAAAGATGACGATGCCAAGGCCTTCCTCCACACCTCCGAGTGAGTTGCCGCACAGGAGGGCTGGCCTGAGGGGGAATGTCCTACATACTTGCCCCATTTCTCTCTGGGAAGGCCCAGCTCGCCTACTCTGCTCTCTCCCCAGGGGAGGCAGCTGACTATGAAGTCCTGAGAAAGGAAATTCTGGCAAGCTGTGGACTGTCCTCCATCAACACCGTGGCAGAGTTCCACCAGTGGTTCTACGGGCCCAGAGCAACCCCACAACCTCAAATGGATGCCTCGCTCCTCACCACCAAACTCTGGTGGTGAAACACCCGAGATTACCAGCCGGGTGACCGAGTACTCCTCCTGCTCCCCAGTGCTAACAGCAAGTTCCTGACCCACTGGCACAGCCCCTACACAGAAGATCTGTCCCCCTCACAGTGGCTAGAGCTAACAGAGCTAGTGGACCAGCTTGCCAATGTTTTCTCCATGGTCCCAGGGATGACGCATCTGGTCCAGCATGAGATAAAAACCTGCACCATCTTTAGAAGGTCCTGGGGGAGCTCCGGAAGGCGGGGCTGACGGAAGTGCCATCTGGCACTCACTGAAGCTCGGTACCTGGGGTACCGCATCAGCCAGGGGTTATTGAAGCCACAGGTGAAGAAAATTGAGGCAGTAAATAGGTACCCCCATCCCACCACAAAGGAACAGGTACATGCTTTCTTGGGGTTGGCAGGATACTATCGGAGGTTTGTCCCTAATTTGTCATCATGCCTCCCCCCTCTCAGATCTCACCAGGTAAGGCCAACCAGACTGGGTGTGCTGGTCCGACAAGGCTGAGCAGGTGTTCCAGGCCCTCAAGAGAGTGCTCACCAGCTCACCAGTCCTCAGGAACCCAGACTTCGACTAGCCATTTATTGTCCAGACTGATGCATCCGAGACACCCCTGGGTGCCTTGCTCTCACAGATGATCGAAGAGCACCCAGTGCTGTATGTGAGGAGGAAGTTGACCCCCAAAGCCCTTGCCATGAAGCCATCCATCGAGGAGCTCCACTATTACCTCTTAGGCTGGCACTTCACCATGGTCATGGAACACGCCCCTCTCCAGTGGATGGCCAAGGCAAAAGACACCAACGCCCAGGTAGCTCGATGGTTCCTTTCATTACAGGACTTCCCTTTCCAGGTGCAACATTGGGCAGGGGTCCACCATGGCAACGCTGACAGCCTTACCTGATGGCACAGTCTGTGGGTGCAACCTCCACAGGCAGTAGGCTCAGAGCTGATTTGGGGTACAACAGCATGCAAGGACTAGGAACACATGATTAAAGCATGATTAAATTGAAACAAGATACAGGTTACATAGATAATACAATAAATCCTGTTGGAAATATCATAATTACAAAGTTGGCGCACTTGAACACAACCACAATGTTGTAATTACAACTCGGGAACATGTATTCTTTTTATAATAATATAATAACAAAAACACATGTTTACGGACAAGCAACTCTCACCAGTGGGTCTCCAGTTCGATCCTGAGTTTGCGGAGTCTGTGCGGAGTTTCACATATTCTCCCTGAGTCCTCTGATTTTATCCCACATCCCAAAAACATGCCTGTGGGTGGATTGGTTATGCTAAATTGCCCCTAAGTGTGAATGTGTGTGTGCATAGTGTCTTGCAATGGACTGGCATCCCATCCAGGGTATTCCCACCTCACGGAGAGTGTTCCTGGGAGAGGCTCCGGATTCAACGTGACCCTGAGCAGGAGAAAATGCTTACTGAAGATGAATAAATGAATGTTTGCACTTTCAGGTGGAATTGTATGGAAAAGATGTGTAGATTTTTCTTGTAAGTCAGGTTGCACTTTTTCTGCACATTTTACACAGTGTTTTCAGGACTTGTGTGTACACATCTCGGCATTTGTCTAGATGGAGTTTCACGTCAGTCATCTGCAGTCAGAGTTGAAGCCATCTGTTTTCTGTATGAATTGTAGGCCACCTGTTGGGTAACAGGTTTAGTCACGGCAGACGAGGAAGGATGAAGGGTGAGCTGAGGTTAAACAGAGTGGAATTAACTCAGCAGGTGTGTGTGTGTGTGTGTGTGTGTGTGTTTAGAAGTGGTGTGGACGTAACCTCAGCTGCATCCGTCATTACCATGATGTCAGTTTTAGATCCCGTATTTGCATTTCGCTTCTCATTTTCTCAGTTTTTGTCGCAGTCACATCACAGTGAAACATTAGCTGTGACTCAACACTCCTCTGATGTGTGTGTGTGTGTGTGTGTGTGTGTCATAAACACATCAACCTTCTCTAAAAGGAAGTCACACACTGTCTTTCAAATATCGTCTAATCTTGTGTATAAGAGACCTTTGGCAATTTTCAGGCCTCTGGCTTCCACACATCAAGGAATACAGCTCTGTTTAAATACACTTAAACAGCAGGGTATGAAAATAATTCCCCTGTATATGAATCATCAACAAGTAAAAGCTCTTTCCCGTACTGCTGTGGCCAAATAAGAAATACTGCTCCTGACTGCAGAAAGATAGATTATTTATTTATTTACTTATTTATTTATTTATTCTTCTTGCTATTGTTGTTATTTTCATTATTGTGTTTGCTTATTTATTAGTTTTTCTCTATCTATCTATCTATCTTTGTGTCTGTCTCTTTTTCTCTTCCCCTCTTATTTCTCTTAAATAAATTGCAATAATTTGCTTATTTGTTGTCTTCTCTTTCTCTTTTCCCATCATTTGTCCATTTCAATATCTGGGCCTGGGAGATTTTTTTCCAGTCTTGGGACCAGCACTGGGAATGCACTGTCATGGCTGGGGTTGGTTCCCTGGGCAGGAATCAAACCTGAGCCACGGCGGTGAGAGCAATGCGGCCTAACCACTAGTCCTCCAGGGACCTAGGGGATATTATACACAGTATTGGAAAAGAAAAACAACCCTTCATTAGCAAATTTATTATATTTATTATTGACTTCTTATAGTTATTAGTATGTTTTTGTGCGAATATAAACCGAATGGGTTTTATTCCTATAACTCAATGTTACAAGCAACAAGTAGCCTGCAAATAATATCAAATGGGACTTAATGTGTTCAGTGGATGGAAAGTTCAGAAAAATAAATAAAGTTCTATGTTTCCAGTAAATAGCCAGAATATTATTGTACAAATAAAAAAAAAGTATTGGATTTGGTTCATAAAATAAATCTATAATGAGAGGGTCTGTTTTATTTATTTTACAGATAACAGGGTCGCTGGGTATAAAGTATAATGTTTGAGAGCCCTTGCTCTTGGTTATGCTTACTTACAGTAGCTCACTGTGTGGTACAAGTAGCATTTGGGATCTACAGAGTTGCTTGCTTTTCTTTTAGGGATAACTAATTTCTGTTCCTCTGTCCTGGTAGTTCTGCCATGTTGAGGTCTTGTTTCAGGCCTGTGTGTTTCTGTTCAGTAAAGTTCATCAGCAGGGAGACTTCTGTATGTCACACTTCATTACCTGGCTGCAGAACACAGCCTGCTCTAATGAAAGCAAAGAGAAAAAATGAGAGAAGGAGAGAGAGAGAGAGAGAGAGAGAGAGAGCATCGACAGATATCAGCACCATCTCTCCCTCTACAATCCTCTAGTCTACACCTATATAAAGCTGCTCTTTCTCTCTCTCTCTCTCTCTCTCTCTCTCTCTCTCTCTTTCTGTCTGTCTGTCCCAAAGCAAGGAAAATTGCATGGCCCATTGTGTGTGCATGTGATCATATCTGTTGGGATGGAAAATGTTAAAGACAATTAGCCATGATGACGGGACACTGGTAGACCTTTTCTCATCAGCGGTCACCGTATGTCCAGACCACTGCGGCTATTTAACTGGCAGCTCAGTGACAAATGACAAGACTGAGAGAAAAATAACGTTTTTCTGATTATGTTCACTGTTATTGTCTTACTGTTGCTGTCTGGTCACTATCATGATATCTTGATCTATTTTCAGTTGCCAGTTTGCCCCTTTCAATCATGAGTATTCAAGATTCAAAGATTCAAAGAACTTTATTAATCCCAGGGGGAAATTGCTTAAATTTCCTGAACATATCCTGATACAGGCTTCAAGAGATGGTACTGACACGAGACAGTATTGACGCACATGAAATATTAAATTTTAATACATTTATTTACAACAAATTGAAACAATGCAATTTCAATACACTGTATTGTAGAAAAAAGTAGATATCAGGATTTATAATTCAAGGGTGTAATTTTTCCCTATTATTAATACGTTATTTTAATCTTTTTCAGTGTCATAAATGTATTTTATGGCAATGTGATAAATATGGAAAGATCGTTTCATGGTAGGTTGTGCTTTAAATGATTAGGCTGAATAAAAATTAGTGTCATCACCGTTCCTACTGCTGTCTGACATCCACCTGAAATGCACAAGCACATCACACTTACCAATTTAATTGCACAGATCATATAAAACATGTCTATGAATCTTATTTTTTTAAATGCAATAATGGGTACTTTAATACTGTATATAAGGAATAAAACGTTTGGAGGAATGGGGCCCAATGCGACATGACATTACTGTTACCACTCTGTAGTTGGTTAGTTTCATAATAACAGCATGTCATGAAGTATGTTATTCCTCTTACACCACAGCAATTTGCCAAAGATTATAGCTGAGGGGTGATTTACAGTATATCTGTTTATATTTACATTCTCATTGTGAAACATCCATGAAACAAGGTAGTTCCTGTTATTACGTATGTTACAACTATTAAGAGTTTCCTCACCAGCATCCCTTTTTTATACCTCCACGGCTAGGTGGTGTAGGAATTATGTTTTCGAGATTGCCGTTAGTGAGTTATCTCATGAACAAATGCTTGAATATTTGTAGGATTTATATGGAATAATCATTGTAACCAGCAGATGAACTTCTTAGATTTTGGAATTGATCCAAACAGGGCCAAGGTCACAGCAAGGTCAGCGTGGCTTGGTTTTTCTTCAATAGCTTCCTTCCTGTTTGAAGTGTACTTTAAGGGTATTTCCAGCATACAAATTAGTAGCAAGAAGGACTAGACTTGTTGGCGGTGGAGGCATCCCCGTTGACACCACTGGAGTCGATTTCTACTTGTTCTCTCTCTTGTTAAGTTTTTATCTTGTTAGATTCATTAGATGAAAAATGCAGTGTGTCATGTTATTGAGCAACTGCAATGTCCACTGTCGTGAAGACTTTCCCATGGTAGAACACTGTTACAACAGCACTGACACTGGAGACTCCTTCCAAAAATGCTAAATAAATGTCTCTTCACAAAAAACTTCACCTTAGCAATGATGTTGAAATCTATTTATGTTGATATGTCTGCCATACATAAGTCCCCGTGTAAGTTGTTACTGTAGAAATGATAGCACCTTAATATGTCAGAGGTGCTGTTATAGAAAATTATTCAACCCCTTCTGACCAATCAGATTTGAGAATTCAACAGCACTGTGGTATAACACAAGTCATAATAGACACCGCTTACAAATCCTAATGCTATGGAAACGCTATGCTGACTCTGTTTTGCAGTGTATTATACATGCTACCACTTCATTATTTATTATGTGTTACGCAATCACACACCCACATTACACTTACCTTGTCGGTGCATCTTGTAGGTGTACATCCAGAGAGTAGAACTCATTTTTTCATGTACTATTTTTGTTAATAATATTCTAACCTTACTCAGTGTCAGTTGCTGACCAGAAGATTTCTGTTGCCTGGAGATTTTTGGGTACTACTTTTCCACAATGAGAAAATCATTTTAAAAAGTCATTATAACATAAACTTGTATATTGTATATGTAATATAATGCGAATAAAGTTTAATTGAATTCCTGATGCAGTGCTTTAACCACCACTAGAGCTTCCAGTGTCAATGCTAAGGACTTCCTGCTGGTGCTGGGAGATTATTATAGAAGCAGTAGGCGACTGGTCAAGAGTTTGATTCGGCTCTTTTCACTGCAGCATCGAAAGGCAGCTGGAAAGGACGGCGTTGTTAAAGACATTAAAAGGAGCCACCGCAGGTCTTTACACGCTGGCACAAAGTGACAATGCACACATGCCAAATGAATGAGCTCGAATGAGATCTAAAGCATCTATGTGAAAGCGCAGGGCGCCCTTCAGAGAGATGACAGACAAACTGCGGCATTTCAGAACAACAACAAAAAAAAAACAGGAATGGCTTCTAATTAGCACTACAAAAATCCTGTGCAATGTGAGTGCATTAGCACATCCTAACTCACACATACACAAACACCACTAATGTCCTCAAAGCCCAGCGTTACTCAGATCCAATGCTATTTCATGCTTTGCTTTGTGTAGCAATCTAATTAAGATCACATTCTTAACAGTTTTATGCAATGAATAATGAGCACTGCCACATATGCTGTCTGGATTTTAGTATTCAAGGAATACTCCAGAGTGATCCAACATAACCTCTGTCTGCGGCATCTGTACTGTACGCATGATTACCATGGCTATTAATTTTGGCATGGTTCTCTTTAGTGTGAAAAAATAACAGAAAACCTTGTTTCTCTAATCTTATAATAGATTTCTAAGAGCAGTTGTTGGGGAAGTCAGTAAATGTTTATGAAAAACATATTTCTACAATGCTTTCATGAATTTTTCAGTCAAAAAAGTCTAAATCTCATACTATAAATCTGTATATTTTTCTATACTGTATATATACCTGTATAGATAATAAACAATCTAGGGGTTTGTGGTGGTCAATGTCACTTTAAATTATATTTAAAAAAGTTTAAAAAGTTATATTAATCATAATATATTTTACAGGTTCAAATACAAATTGTAATGAATTCTAATAATTCTAATAAATTCTAATAATTTCAAAACCGGAAAAGTCGCATGTTTTCAGTAACAAGTTTTGCCATTTATTACAATTTCACTTAATGTTAGCCTACTTAAATTCTCAAGTTTTACTTAGGGCAAATAAATTTAGGTTTTAGATCATAGTCTTTGATCAAGCATGGTTACCATAAAACCTTCAGAAAAAATATATATATATATATATATATATATATATATATATATATATATATATATATATATATATATATATATAAATAGTCACAATTTATTTGTTTGGAAGTTACATTAGAATAGCTTTGGTAGGATTTTCTCACAAGTCTCAGGTCCCAAGGCATGACGGTACCTACTAAATGATCCAGTTTGCATTTTATAGTAGTGTATCTGTCTGTATCTATATTCAGATTTATACCTGAAGTGGGCGTGACCTAAACTTTTTGTTTACATTTTTGTTTTGTTTCATTTTTCTAATTAATTAAGGACCGTACCACTTTCCCCCCAGAAACATTGGAAAACACTGGAAAAGTCCTAGAGGTAGAAACGACAGCACTGTCAGTAGTGTATGAATTCTGGCTCTGACAGTTCCTCAACCTCAGCTACATCACTCCAGTTCATAACTGGTCTCAGCTAGAGATTTGTGCAGTGTTGTTGTTTTTTTAATCCTGCTCATGCAGTTATTATTTTTGTTTGTACCTGCACAACAAATTTTTGCCTCTATTTCCTAAAATATAAACAAACTAGTAGCCTAATTCAAACTACGGATGAATGAATGAATGGACGTTGTAAATGCATTGTGTTTGTTAATGAACGTGGTCTTTGTACTGCGAGCTTTATATCTGACTCCTCGCTGTCACCCTGCCTGAAAGTAAAAACCTCCAGCTCATGCTACTTTTCACTTAATCTACAGATGCCCTGTGAATCTTTCTGTCAAGCTTTCTAAAAAAAAAGGAATAAAAAAATAGTGTGCCTCCTGTTCATATCTGTGTTTGTATCCATTTAGAACACAATATCTGTTCATTCTGTATAATCTATTCCTTCTTACAGTAGTAAA